CTAAATAGACTTAAATCTCATAATGGGATCTAACAAAAAAAAAAATAATACAAAATGGCTATTTCAGGCCAAAATACAGAGATATAGATAAAGCTTTCAAGATATAAGGATAAAAAGAAAATACAGGGCTAGTGGGAGAATTGTTGCATGCATCTCAGTGCACCAAAGGGTATCTTAAGTATTTCAGAATTTTTGCATTTTGTTATATTAATGCAAAACAGCATTATTTAGCTTAAAAACAAGTAAAATGCTGAATTACATCATTTTCTTACACAATTCTTAGAGTAAACAATATGTTCTAATAATTTCACATCTTGCCAAACTACTTGTTTCATTGGGGAAAAATTACCACATATTCTACAAATTATTATTCTTATGAGTGATTTCTCTTTCATCAAATAGTGAGAGTAGAGAAAAAAATAAAATTATCACATTGTCAACAAAAAACAAGGTTTTGTGTAAGTGTATCATATATGTAGAATCCTTCAAAAATTAATATCAGTAAAAATAATATATGTTATTAATTTTACCTTCTTCCATGGGTTCCTGTTTGATATCTTTAAATCCTGCATCACCTTTCTGATTATCTTCTGGAGTTTCTTGTTTAATTTCAGTATCTTCTGGTTCTTCCTATGAGATCATGCCATGATATAAAATATTTTCAATGAATTAATAGTAACCACCATAAAAAATTTGGAAATAAATATAAATTATGCCTCTTTCGTTCAAGAATGACTACAAATTATAACATGAAAACATAAATGTTTAGACTAAATAGCCTAAATCTCATAACATTATACATTTGTATATATTTATTATTTTTATTATATTGACCTTTCAGTCATGCCTGGCTAATACAGAAGTTACAATGATGTGGCACATATGCACTCATGTTACCATATCCAATAATATAAAACTGACCTTTAGTCTTTACAAAGTGACCTGTCTTGACTGTGTTTTAGTGGATTAGAACTTTGTAAAATACAGCCACATTTCAATTATTATACATTATATATGTACATAGATTATTACTATTTACAAACAAGTTCTTAAACTTCTTTTCTTTAAAACATAGAACAGTAAATGAAGACGTAAAGCAAACAATTAAAACAATTATGTCTTCTTATTGCGACCTTTGTACTCGATTGCTGCTTCTCGTAGCTAGCTAAGCCTTAAGAAATTTTAGATGTGGAGGATGTGAAACGAAATAATTTTTGGGGTTTTTATATATATATATATATATATATTAGAATAACTAAAAAACCATAAATTACTATATCCATGCCATAGAATTCCATTATAATTTATCAAGTTTAGTAACTAAGCTGTATTTGGGTCTAAAAAAATATGAAATTTCAGAGTCTAAAGACTCAACTTACCAGCAAGAAGGTTTGACCAAAACGAAAGAGATGACACCTTTATATTTGAAAGTGGCTGAGAAAGTCACTCGGGTACCTTCTGAGCTTTTGATTTATTATTCACATGTCATATACAGAAGTAAGTGTATAGCCAGGCCACTGTGTTTGATTCAGTACATGAGCAATATCTCAGCAAATAGAAAGTTCTCACTTTCAAATGCTGGTAGTTGTGTATATTTATGTAGTTTTACTCTCCAGCAACTCAAGTTCTTTTGAACTTCTGGGTTAACTTTCATTTCTGCAGACACTGTTTGGCTTTTGGCTGTAATTTAATTAAGTAGTTGTTTAAGTTCACCAGTGAGTAAATTGTGTATAAGGTGCTTCTTAGGATAGTGGAGCATAGGTTTATATTTAAAGTATAGATTTTGCAGAGGCTAAAACAAGAGTTAACTTGTGTTACATTTTTACTTGGAAACACTCTTTCAGTGATTCTCTTTTATATGCTAGCTTAAATTACAGGGGGAAGAACATACACAAGGAATAGCATATTATTTAATGGAATCTTCATCATCCCTTGCTAGTCTCACACCCTTTTCTGTCACACATAAAAACACATGGTCACTTGCCTACCATACACTGTATTGCTACAGTGTTGACTTGTACTGTATGATAGAACATTGTAAACTGTGAAGATTTTCTTTAAATATTTGTTCCTTGTATAAATCTACCTTCTGTCTTTTTTTTTTGTGGCCCAACCCTTTCATCCAGAGGAAAACACATCTGCATAGAAAATCCACAAACCTACTCTTTTTGTTTTGCCAGAAATCCTCAATATTCCAAACTAATTTGCATTGTTCTACCTTAAAAAAAGTATCAATTTTTCTTTTAGTTTCCACTTTATAGTACATTCTGACACTAATTGTTCTCCTCAGAAGAAAACTCTTTGGAACATTTAAATTTTAGTTTCAAAATTAATCTTTTTTAAACCTGACATTTACAAAAAAAAACAACAGTATTTTTGATATACTGGTACTTAATAATAAAAAGCCATTGTAAATATAGAACAAATCCCAAATATAACCAAAAATAAATATAATCCCAAATATGAAGTCTACTGTGATGTTTCATCACATTTTAACTCTTTAGTACTTTGAATAATTTAAAATATATTATTCTTGAAGATAGCTATAGAAATTTTTCAATCATTATTTCAAAATAAGCAATCTAAAAAAATTATGAAAACATGGAGTTATGCTACCTAAAAATTCTTACCTTGATAACAGGTTGTTCACTTTCAAGTTGGGGGGCATTTTGGTTATCTGATTGTTCTGTTTCTTGTTTTTCCTAACCGTGCAACAAGATGAATAACTATCACATCATGCATTACTTTTCTTGCCAATTGTAAAATCACACAGCAAAAAAAAAATACCTTAATAATAAAATAAACCTAACAGCTACAATACAATACTGCATATAACCTTCACCCTAAAATTATAAAGCAAACTAATAAAATATTGCAACAAATAAACATGATCAAATGCAATAAGAAGCAAATTTCCATTAAATTGAAGCTACTTGCCATTATACTACAGTGATGAAAATAAATAAAATAATTATAATGATTATTAAGGAAACAAACCCAAAAGAACAAAAGTTATTATTTTCCTATATTGAAAATATATTTCTTATAGGTACTTGTCTCCTCTCGCATGTATAGCTATTTTCATTCAGTGCTGCCCCCTCCATATGCAGAAATTTTTCATATGCCACAAGCCTTGAACTCCCATGTACCACATGATCAAAGTGGTTCATCTCTAGTGCTAAAAACTGGTAAAGGAAGGGAGGGTGCAGGATGAGAAACAGTTATGGGAGAAGGCACAGGATCAGAATAAGAAAAACATGCAACAATTCCACCTTAAGAATATCTCCAAAAACAAACCAATGGAGAAAAAAAGCCACCCAAAAAGTAACAAAAATAAGTGGAAGGCAGACAAAACAGCAACAAGACAGCATCCCTCCCAACAGCAAAGAAACCACCTGATCATCATGTCAAAGTGGAGGTAATGAGGAAACGGGTATCCCCCCAAAATCCCTCAGTGGATTGGTAGAGTGTCTTAGAAGGGAGTGTATGGTAGACAAGTACCAAAAGAGTAGTAAGGGTAAAATGAAGGCAGGAAAATTGGGCATGGGAGAAACAGATAGAATTGTCAGGATCAGCCACTCACACTGGCAAAAGTGACTTCAACTGATAGAAGTTGAGAAATGGTTGATAAGCATAATGATAAGCCAAAGCATAATGATCAAAAGCCCATAAAGGGCGAAGAATGATAGCACCAGCTCTCAACCATGAAATGAAATGCTCAGCATGAACAATAATATCAGGAGAAGGAGAGAAAAACAGGTACTCTGAGGGCGAAGTATCATGTAACAAGAAAGGAGCAGTATCACAGGAAATCGATGAAATTGATAAAATGGTACACACCTAAAAAATCATATCCAAAAAAGCTGAGTTGGGCTTGGCAGATTTTGCAGGAAAGGTATGGTATAGTTTGATGGAGAAAAAATGAAGTAAAAATTCTCCTCATTGTTAATAGTCTCATACAATTCTAGAGAAATCCAAACATTGTTGGAAAAAGAGGTTGACTCATATAATGATCAATCATCCAACCTGAAGCCTGTGTAATAACACTTGAAGTAGTGGTAAGAATATCAGAAGTTGTAACATGAACTTCAGAATTCATCTTAAACTGGGAAGAATTCGAAAAAGAGAGAAAAAAAAAGAAGATAAACAAAGGTAAGTTACTGAGGCAAAATAATACAGAAAATCAACTGTAGGAAAAGAATAATTAAGTTAAATAATGCAAAAAATAAATGAACACTTGAAGAGAGCACAATTGAAAAACCTCTGCACTAGATCACTGTCTAACCAGAAGTGATAGTTCAGTTCAAATAGAGGGAGTCATGTGCATCAGGAGGGTGTCACACATCTAATGGTGGAGGGTTGTCGTATGATGAATTACATGCAAGATGCAGTGAACCACATTCATCATGGGGTACGTAGGATTTTGAGGGTTGTGGAATGTGAACAAAAATTTGCTTATAGAGGGTAGCAGTGAACAAGAATAGCTATACTTATGAGATGGGGTAATGTACCATATCAGAATTTTCTATATCACAGGCAAAAAGTATTTTCTTCACAAAAACCAGCTACACAGCAAACAAAGTTGTAAAGCTTTGAAAGAAAATGTAAGAAATCACAAATCTGAAATATTTCACAGCAAGCCACTCAAACTTGAAAAATAGTAAAAAGTGTCACACTTTGAATAAACATTTAAGAAAACATTATATGGCAAAAATTAATATGCTTTTGCTATGATGTAAAGCTCACACCACTACAACCCGCAGCATGTTCTGTGAAGGCAATATCCCATTCTTGAATGTGTTTTAGGGTCATTTACCAGACTAACACTTATAAATCATTGAGATATTAAAGATAAACTGTCTTGATGGATCCATCATATTGAGCTAGTGTCCACATCTGTCTATTGGCAACCTTGACAGATTCAACCTAATTATCACATTAATTTATACTCTCACATTATTAGATATACACAACTGTTCATTTTAAGTTTATATGAGAGCATTATTTGTTTACATAGTACAAACGTTAAAGTAAGTTATTTTTAGAAGTGATAGTTCTGGCATTTTTGCTTAAGTAACTGTTTACGATTCACTGTTGTGTAGTTCAATTGTTGTGAATTGATGTCATCTTACTCAAATCTTATTAATATTTCTTGATGCTATAACCAAGTATTGTTGCATCATATAATATCTAGTGGTGTGTATGAAATTCTAGATACTGTTGAGAGTTTATATGCGTGCGTCTCTCTCTC